ACAACAACAACAACAACAACAACAACAACTTTTTTGTACCACTCTCTTATAGGATTTACAGCATTTGCTTTTTATTCATTTTCTTTCTTTCTTTCTTTCTTTTACCTTTTTTTACCTCTTACGGCTTTGTTTTCTTGAATCAGGAAAGAATATCGTCTCAAGACTTTTTGTCAGTGTGGACCATTTTATCATATTAATGTTATTGTTACGTTTCTGTGGGATTCAACTGATGTAGGACTGCATCGTAACTGTTATTTAATAGCCTTGTTCCCCGTTGCGAGAGGAAATTGCGAAAATTTCAATTTCCATCAACTTAGAGAGATGTGTAGAGCAAGCCACAAATGCTATGAACAAATATTTGTTTGTTCGTTTGTTCGTTTGTTTGTTTGTTTGTTTTTTATTTTTTTGCATCTAGAAAAGGAGCTATATGAATTTGTTAATTTGTTACATAAATTTTGATAATCAAAAATTAATTGCTAAAGATCGGAGTTTTTGTAGTCCCAAGAATATGTTTATCTTGTGTTACCATGGTGACACGTCATTGAATTAAGTCCCACAGTTCTTCACCAATTAGAACTGAACTCTTGAAGCTGATGCCGTAGGCTTTAGGAGTCCAGGTGATCTTTTTCTCTGCATAATTCAGTTCTAGTTCATATTTTCATCCTTTGCACGTCAGAATAAACCAGGTAAGGCTCTTTTTAAGCAAAAATATCATTTAAAAAAATAATTATCCGACTTTTATCTATAGTCGATGCCTTTAGTCGATTTATTACGAGGTACATGTTTTGGGTTGTCTGTTAAGAGGACATTTTTTTCAATAATGAGCAATAATGGCAAAAAGCGCCAAAAACTAGACTTTCGTAGGAATTTTGATCCCAATTTTCGTTTTGGGTTAACACTCAAAACCTTTTTTAAACAGTTACAAACTGATGTACTATGATAAAATGCCTGTTTGAAGCGGTATTTTCAATTGCACAGATGTTTTGTTATAATTGTGTTAGAATGTTGCTTTGTCAGGCTTTTTTTATAGAAAATATATGGGAACTAAGCAAATAAAGGCCTAAACCCGCTCATTTTCGAATAAAATTTTTGCTTTGGGTTAACAACTTGATTTCAATTTAACTTTCCGAATAACACGATTTTAACCTTGTACAACAGCCTTTCTCCAAGAAAATAGTTTTTGGCGCTCACTGCTTGAATACGAAAAATAATTCTCTCTTAATGTATAGATAGTTGGAAGGTTGGATATATAGATCTTATTAGACATTTTGTTTTAAATAGATATTTTTTATGGCGTGAAAATGCGTGACGACGCTGAATTCGAAAGCGGCTGCAGTGGGGGAGACTAGGCAAACTACTAAGTCGAGAAAAATGTCTAATAAGTTATTTTGGTATTTATTTCAATTGAGCTTACTTTTTCTCGAAAAGAAGGCTTCAAAACGATTTTTTTCTTTGAACTAGGTTTTTTCAAAACCGGTTTTTTACTGTACAAAATAACCTAGAGTACGAATATCGCAGGATATTTGTACTGTTCCAGGGTTTCTCAATGATACTTCATATACGGCTCTTATCCTACCTTAGCAGATTTAAATAATAATTCAGTCAAGATAATAAGATATCCTTTACATGTTGAACTACTGAAAAAGGTTTATCTGGCTAATTTGCAGTTTTAAAAGCCATCCAAAACAGTTAATTTTTCAGTTATAAATAATTTAATTCGCCTTCTGTCAATTGCCTTTAATTATGTAATTCATTAAGGATATAAGGTTTAATGTTTCTCTTGAAATAAAGCCAAAATAATTTCCATTTGAAAGAGCTAAAAAACATAAAAAAGAAATGATTAAGTTACATATATTTATTTTGATAATGCTGCCACAAGAGAGAATTTCAATACGATCGAACTAGCTACGTGTGTGGTGAACAAAGAAAATAGAAAGTACATGATATTAATTTCTATAATCATTTTTTTAGATTTTTTTATCCAGTTCAATAATGGTGACCCTGTGGACAATATTCTGCTTAGTTTACTACGTATCCATGACAACGGCTACCCAAAACACGTGTCCAGTCGTCCGATACACCGGATCTTTCAGGGCTGCTGACAAAGTATCTGACTACGCCCTCCTTGGACATTCTTACAAGAATTTTACAACCTCCATCATCCAGGAGTGTTTTAATGACTGTGTGATGGACTGCGCATGCGTGTCCTATCAACTGTTTGGTACACGATGCGAGCTGATGGACGAGGACAGACAAACAGAACCAGGACACTTTAAGGAAAAGCTTGGATACCAGTATTACGAGCTTCAACAAAAGTTTAAACAACAGGTGAAAAAATAACTTCATCAAGCTAGATTTGCAATGTATCATGCTGTGAATATACAGGTGAAAATTAATCTAATGGCTCAGTAATTCACGCTGCTTATTCAGCAATTAAGCGGAGCCATTCACTAAGCACGAAAACACGCCTGTCCATTCTTGTGAGCAAAACATGTAAGCCATTTAAATAATTGTCACTTTATATATGCGTGGCGCGTGACTTTGAATGGACTTCGTAATACAAGCAATTAGTAAAAATACGCAGGTGATTATAAAAGTCTCGAGCGCTGATTGGTCAAGAAACTCACACTATAATCACCTCGAGCGAAAATCCAAAAAATGGCGGCTAGCCGCTTTGTCGCTGTTACCGGAAAAAAAATGCCTTTTATCTTCTTTTTTTCTTTTTTTGAAAGAATCACCTGTGTATTTATACCAAAACAATTATTTGCCTCAGGYTCAGTGATTATTGGGGAATATTAAATCTCGCCGCTCGAAGACTCGCGTCTCGGTAAATATTCCCCGATAATCACTTAATAATTGTTAAATAATGAAATACAATAATATATGTACAGGAAATCGCATGGCCTTCAATACAATTCTTAATTCAATAGTTATGAGTGACCATGTTTTGAAAAAGTCTTTAGGCGATTAAAAGCACTTAAAACTTTCGAAGCCGGCTTGGCAATTATCTATTAATTTTATACGATCTTTTCACCAAACCTTCCTGAAAACAGAAAGCAGTTGTTGTTCATCAGTTTTGTCAGTTATTTTCACATTTGTCGCTATGCGTGTTTCCCACAGCAAATGAAGTAATATAGATATTCATATGGAGTGCAATTAACGATTGATTATACTGCTCTCGGCCAATCAGAATTTGGCAATTTTGTTGAGCGTAATATAAATGCGGTAAACTAGAGCTGGATTTTTACAGGTGGGAATGGCAATTGTATATATATGTAAGCATTTTGTTTAAATTGTTTTGGATAAATAGTACGAAAAGTATCACACCTTATCGCAATTTCGCTCCGTATGTTACACATTCATATACAAAGCCCTCTCTAAAATTTTGAATCTTCACTTACAGCATACTCCAGCATCTTGTGCGGGACACTGCAGAAATGGCTGTTGTAGATTTGTGTCTTGTCTCAACGGAGGAACCTGTATCGAGCAGTGTGACGACGTCAAGCGAAAGTTCAAATGTCAGTGTCGTTCAGATTTCACAGGCAAAATGTGTGAGCATCCCATGACTTGCGCTGCTTATGGTGCAGGTCGTACCAGTGGAGAATACCCCATCACTTTACCCTCTGGGGACAAAATTAATGTTTTCTGTGACTTCACGTCTGAGCCGGGCTTCGTGTGGACTCTGATAGAATCCTTCGCGTTTTCTAAACATCTTGATTACAAGACAAAGCCATTTACTGTCGACTTTCCTGTCAACCCTACAGCTCCAACATGGGACAACTACCGTTTGTCGAGGTCGGTTATGTTGTATGTGAAAAGTAATTCAACTCTGTGGAGAGCTACTTGTAAGTACGACACGGATGGTCTATCCACACGGGACTACATGAAAGGGTTGCTGAAATACATGGATATTTTGGCTCATCAAAGTGGAGACGTGTGTGCAAAAGTGCTGTATATTGACATAAGAGGTATAAACTGTACCGAATGTACCACACATTTTCGTCAAAGTAACCGTCATCCATATGTTGACTGCGCCTATGGACGAAACAGCCTGGGATGTACGTTTGATGCTAGTTCTGGCGGAGTGCGAAAAAACAAAGACGGTTATTGGTCTTGGGATGATAACTTCGGGTATTATCATGTTCATAATCCAAACCATCGGTGCTCTTCTTCGTCTTCCTCTACAACACAGTGGTGGCTGGGGACACCGGTGTAACCAGCTGATTATCCATCCATCCATCCATCCATCCATCCATCCATCCATCCATCCATCCATCCATCCATCCATCCATCTATCTATCAGATCCATCCATCTATCNTCCATCCATCCATCCATCTATCTATCAGATCCATCCATCTATCCATCCATCCATCCATCCATCCATCCATCCATCCATCCATCCATCCATCTATCCATCCATCCATCCATCCAACCTAACCATCCATCCACTTACTATCAATCCACATATCCATTTATCCATCAATCCATCCATCCATTCCACCTACCTATATATCTAACCTTCCAATCAGTCCCTCTATCCTTCCATCCATCCATCCCATCCATCCAACTTTCCTTTCTTTTCTCCCTCCCTCCATCTTTCTATCCCATCAACCCTCTTCATACCAGAGGATACTCTGCAAAGAAATCATCTTGTAAAACATCTTGACTGACGCTTCCTTATCAAGTGCGCATGTGCTGTCCACGATGTTCTGATCTATGATCTGATCTATGATGTATATACACGATTAAAGGCGCGATTACACGGAGAAATTTTCTTTGCAACTTGTCTCGCAATGGCGTTGCAACACAAGTTGCATTGAGCATTGCAGTGTGTAACCAACAACGCAATTTGAAAAGAATGTCTTAAGACAAGTGGCAGCAATTGTTGCCAAAAGCAGTATTCGGTTTTTCTTTTGGCAACGATTGCGCCTCCATTGCACCGTGTAAACACTCTTGCAACTTGTGTCGCAACGCTGTTGCGAGACAAGTTGCAGAGAAAATTTTCTCTGTGTAATTGCGCCTTTACCCTCGACTGCTTCAGACATGCATTAACCAGTGCTTGCTTTACATTTATGAAGTAATTGAAAAATATTACTATCGTTGCACCTTTATTATCACAGAGGGTTTTCAGGGCAGCCAATGTTAAAGGGCAGAAACAATGAGATGACAACATATTTTAGTCATTTTCTTAAGGAGAAAATTATATTTATTATTGGGTTAGGTGTCTATAGACTTCGCTTTGATCAGAAATTGTTCACGCGGGCAGCACGTTCAAAATGCACCATAAAAGATTATTGTATAAAAATGTCTAAAAATATTGTTCTCGGAAATCAATCAGAAACTATACTTAGAATTTCCTTTAATATACCTGTTTAGAACTCTAGACTTGTATTCAGGTTAGTGGCAAGTTGTAAATCTCATATTGTACGTTGTCCATATGCCCTTAGTTGCACGGGGATTTGTATATATACCCTAAATGAAATTGTTTAACCAGTGAAGTATCTATTGGATTTTGGGAGCATTAGAAGCGCATTTCATCTTTCTGAGACGAAATTACGCAGCTTTTTGCTTCCATCAATCAGGCATTTACTAACTTAGCTCAACTCAGACTGTTTTACATTTGATGGACGGCAACAAAAGCACGAAGAACTATCCTACGCCAGGAGTTGTCTTGGTCGCAGAAACAAGGAAAGCGCGCTAAGTTAGGATAATGACAACAATTTAACATCGTACGTACGCTGTCAATTAGGATGCCCTATATATGTTATATATATATATATATAAAATATACCCTAAAAACGGTTTATCAATGTGAAGTTTGTCTTTAAAGATTTTCGCGCATTACATCTTTCTGAAAAGATTTGACAACCTCGCACGACTGGGTTTTTTCTTCCGTCATGTCAATAAAGAATTCACTAACTCAGATTGTTGTAATTTTGAAGGAAAGGAAGGAAGCCAAAGCACGAAGAAGTGTGCTGCGTATTGAGTTGTTTTAAAATATATGAAAAGCGCGGTATTACCTATAAACCTATAAAGGAGAATTAAACTTTGCACTTATGAGTTTTTAAAGGTCTTTTGCAACGAAGGAAAACGTTCAAGAAGTACTTACGAAAATGAACGGGTAATTGGACACGGAAATGCGTCAGAGATTAAAAACTATCTTTGGCAATCTGTTGGCAGGAATTTTGACTTAACGCAGGAAGCCCAAGCCTTAAAAGTGCTCACGGCGTCAATAACTGGTTTTCATACCTTCATATTGGTTAAAAAAAGACGTCATTATTGCCCTTTGTTATAACATTTAACATTGCCGCGTTCTCTTTTGTTGTTTTATTCGCATGGGATTGATTGAAAACCAGCAATAGCACCGTGAATACGTCACAACTATAAAAACTATACTGGGCTACCTGTGGTGATATAAACTCATTAGTTGCACCAGTGTTTGATTATGAGGTCATCAGGTGGCATGTGATTGGTGAATGCTGGTAATTCATTAGCTGCCCGGATGTAATCCCAGACTCGAGTGAACTTTTCAGGAATCTCGAATTTGTTGACTTTTCCAGCGACTCGTATCAAGTGTAACAGAGGAAGGAGGTAGCAATCGGGGAGTTTAATGGTATCTCCATCAAGGAATCTTGTTTTCTTTTCTTTAAGTTTAATATTCAGCCACTGCAGCTCTTCAAGTAGTTTTTCTTCCCCACTATGGTTTTTCAACATCTTACGAAATGCTGAAAGGAAATTCCTTCGTTGTATGTCTGCAAAATATAACATGAAAATGATTTTAAACTGAAAATTAGCTGTACCGTGCAAGGCCGTCACCGTGCCATGCTCAATAATCATCATCACTTGAACCGTCATTTCGCGTGCTGTGATTGGCTTAACGAATGTCGCTAATTGTAGTTGACGTACCTCAATGCTGCATTTTGATTGCATGAAATGACTCTCGTACCTAGACCCTACGCATTAGCCAAATCGTAGTCTAATACGATTACAATTTGACTAATGAATGGTCTGGGAACGAGAATAAGAGATCGATATGGTAAGCTTTAGCTTTGAATCACGTCCCACGCAGCAAACGTCTAACACAGGCAACCCAACCGCAATCTATCTCGTTGAAGAGAAGTCTTATCAGAATACTTACTTAACGCTGACTTGGAAAAACTTTTAAGTGGCGGATTGGGATATGTTTCGTCCAAGAATTCCACTATTTCCTCTGCGTCATCGATGGCACGATAAGGCTCCTCATTACCATAGATGATTGCTGGAAGCTTCCCTGACGTAACGAAGTTGAGAAAACTTCCCATGTTTTTCTGATGCGCATCAATGTGGATGATGTTTGGGTGGATATTTTTAAGTTCACAGATCATCAGGATTTGATGCGTTGAGGGTAGTGGCGCCGCCACATTTTTGTTATAATCAGCAGCCTGGAAAATAAATAAATAAATAAATAAAACACGAGTGAGTCTAGATGACCTGTATGGGCCTGTTATATAGGGGTTTTGCACCATCACGTGACGGCAGCCATGTTACATGGCAGGAACAATACAACTGTTCTACATGATAAAGAATTCAATTCTTCATTTTCTGCTATCTAACCAGCCCCAGCTGTATAATGGGCGCCTGCACGTGATAATACAAAACCTCTATTCCATTCTCTAGGTAAATTTAGACTATACTTATTTGAATTTCCTTGGAAAATCGTTTTCAAAAACCTTTTTTGAACTTTCTACGAAACATTCTTTAAAATTACTACAGTATCGAGTGAAATCTTTCTTTGAAATCTCAAGTAAAATATGAATAAAATTGTTATATTCAGAAAATTTGTATCATTTATTATATTCTTTTTTATTGTATTTTTTAAAATTTCTTCAAAGTTAAAATGATAATAATTTCCTGAGAATAAAATGTATTTAAAACCTCGAATTAATCGGCGCTGCTGTTTTCTTTTTTACGAGCATGCGCAGTTACGTTTATGTCAGAATCCACTTTTCTTGGCACAGTTTCCAACCACGTGACCAAAATGACGAGACCCGATTGGTTATGACGTTTAAGAACTTTGTAGAAATTTTAAGTGATTATAAATCAAGTTGGCTGTCAAATGGGATTCAGTTTGCTTATAAAGTCGTCATATTATGACTGATACGTGAACAATTTGTTTAACCAAGCAGAACACAATGTCTAAACGTCCGTAAAAATATTCCCACGCCTTGTCGTTCAATTTGTAATTGAATATATATTAGTTTGAAATATTATGTTCAGTAAACTATCAGAACTTAATTTTCCATTATGTCAAGGAATGCCAAAGAAATTTAAGTGCAAATATCAAAAATTTAGTTTTCACACTCGAGTTTAAAGGGCCACTTGGACGAAAATCGCTCCAAAATTAAAACTCTTTCATTCGAGCTGGA